ATTTAAATCAATGTTCCCTGGAGCCCACAAACAAAAATTAAGGTCGACAAATCGGCCGCTACTAGCCAGCTGACCAAGTGCTAGAGAAAGGTGGTTTTGTCTAGATCTTACGAGACGGTTAAGGCTAGCTAGTTACACCCAACAACATTACATGTCCAGTAGCATCAATTATTTATTTTTAAAGTCTATTCTATAACACATGTATGCTAATGAAATATGGCTGCGTTAGTCTTTGCAGTCCTATGAGAATGACGTGACTGTCCATAAGAAAAAATAGGACAGAGAATTAAAATTAAAAAACCAGTCATCGTTTTTCAAAAAACAAAAGAGTATTACTGAACAAGGTGACGTTTCCGCGATGTTCTGTGAACTAGCACAAAAAAGTTGAGTAACAATGAGAATCGGAGTACATCTACAGTGTCGTAAAAAAACATAGGAAAAAGAAATCTAAACCAGAATCGACGACCGAATGCAACTAGCGACTTAATTGGGTTTTATTTTAAAGGTGATACCGGATACGAACGAATTTTCCTTGTTTATAAAAATCTGTAAATTATATTATTTTTGGTATTTCTACCTACTCAGTGTGATTTAATTGGTTAGTATTATTGAAAATCTGATTATATACATATGTACTTATACAAACACTGGATATGGCTAAAGGTTTCCCTCTGATACGACATGCAGAGACATCTGTAGAAAAGCGCTAATTTCTCTTCGGAAAAATACAAGTAAGACGTAATTGGCAGTCATCGGTTTTCTTGATGTTAGTCCACATGTGTATATACTAGTTCCACCTGATATGAATTTGATTCAGTTAGTTTATTAAATGTGATTTGAACAATAAATTATTCTATGCGTAGTCGATCTGTAAATGTACGAAAACCAAGGTGTTTTTTTGTGAAAACCACATAGGACCTTGATAATCACAGAGGAGGAAGATATGAAACCAACTCCTGTTAGAGGCGTCTGCCGCGTATTTAATTTAACGTTTGACACAACATCGTATTTGGAGACTAGGTAACAAACACCACAGAATTTTTTATAATACATACTTTATCACACACTTAATACATTCACTCTTTTAAAAGAAAAACATGGTTATTTTTGTGCGTAATACATAAATCCTTTTTTAAAGCTGAGAATACTAAAAAACATAAACAATAATTTTATTGATCTACATCAAATGTCATTTGGAATATTTCATACGTTTGTCATTGAGAACAGACAGACGCAGTGGTACGTTAATTATGCTATAAATAAAAATAACATTGTACTTGATGTATTTCCTAGTTTTGATGGAAACAGTGAATGGAAAAACCGAAGATTGTACCTTCAGTTGCCTACCTAAGAAGTTACGCCCATTAATGGATGAAATTAAGTTATTAAAACCTTTAAATTATTTAAAAATATTTTTATGAAGTATTAGCTCTTGCTCGCGACTTCGTTCGCGTGGAATAGTGACTTCATGCAGTCTTTTGGTATAAAAACTTTTATTGAGTACAGACAGACGTAGTGATACGTTAATTATGCTATAAATAAAAATAAAATTGTACTTGATGTATTTCCTAGTTTTGATGGAAACAGTGAATGGAAAAACCGAAGATTGTACCTTCAGTTGCCTACCTAAGAAGTTACGCCCATTAATGGATGAAATTAAGTTATTAAAACCTTTAAATTATTTAAAAATATTTTTATGAAGTATTAGCTCTTGCTCGCGACTTCGTTCGCGTGGAAAAGTGACTTCATGCAGTCTTTTGGTATAAAAACTATCCTGTGGCCTTTCACGAATTCCAAACTATGCCTGTACTAAATTTCACAGAAATCGGTTCAGTAGTTTAGGCATGAAGAAATGAAAGACTGATAGACACACAGACAGACAGAGTTACTTTCGAATTTATAATGTTAGTTTGGATAGTTTGGATTAAGGATGTGATACTGTAAGTAAGATTCATAAAATTAATGAAATGAGTTTTAAGAATCCATCCAAATATACATATAATAGATAGTGTAACAAAAATTGAGTACCTACAAAGTACGTGAGCCCAATTTTTCATGGAAATTCTTAGACTTTCCTTTATTTTAAATTAGTTGTTCCAGTTTGGTTTACAATTACATGTGTAATACAAATTACACTATTATCACGACCCAGTAACATTGTAATTGTGGGTAAGTCTTCGACGCCATGTTATGTAAGTTGTACGTGTGTTAACTAATAATATAGAAAGTGATTGTAGCCACCTTTGCTTGTAAAGTTAACACCATACATTTCTCCTTGCTTGGATTGCATTGAATGAGATTACCATGTTGTTATGTCTAGGGAAAGTGGTAACTTTTAATGTTACGTAATCATAGCATAGAACGTGCAAACTAGGGAAGTAGTTGCATTCTCTTCTTAAAGTTTCAACAGTTATTTGGGTGGTATACTTGTGTAGCGTAAGTTTTATAATTAAAGGCAAAATTGTTTAAGAACTTCTGTATCACAAGAACGATGACAGTTTCAGTGCAAACAAGATAAGTTTGTAATCTTTAGTTTTCAATAAACGCACCAGTAAGTTGTGGTGGCCCGGAGGTTAAGGCGCTGAAACCTGGCAAGAACAAATGTGACTCTTCCAAGTTATACGTAGTTCCTATGATTTTTGAGACACCACTGACATGCGGTGAAGGAAAACATCGTGAGGAAACCTGAACTTATAATTTCTAATAAGAAGTTGGAAATCGCCATCCGCCTTGAGCAATCGTGGTTATTGAATGCTCAAAACCTTCTACTTGTGAGAAAGAGCGTTTGCTCAGCAGTGGGCACTAATAACAGGCTGATGACGTGTGTATGAGACGCTCCAGATCACCCACCGTGACAGTACATTATCCTACCACCATTTTCTAGACGTCAGCACATGTGCAGAATTTATAAGCGGCTGGATTTTCACATAATGTTTAAATCGTGAGCATATTTGAATAATATAATCCATGGCTCAGCCTTAGGAATGTCGCATCGTCCTTCCAGAGGGTTACAGAACAAAATATTTAACAATGACATGTCTATCTTTATAAACTTCCTCTTGTAGTTCTAACACATTGCTAAGAGAATATTAAAAATTTAATTAAGACGAATCTACTGCCTACATAGCAATATTAGCACGCGCAAAAAGGCAGTGTTTCCAAGAAGACAAACTTCCTTATTTTGCTTTAATAAACGAGAAGGAATTTTCGATTGGTTGGCAGATTGCCTGATCTTTACTATTCCATGTAGTAAATATTTATCAAGTATACAGCACTAAATATAAGTCTATTTCTTCCTAAATCATAATATTGCGGATATAACTTGAACAGTTCGCATCAAAACAAACAAAATCCTGAATCTTATTACATGTTGATAATAATCAACCAAATTCATTTGTATAAAGTACCTAACAAAGAAATATTGATGGAAATGCTGAGAGAGATTTAATTTTGTACGATCGTAGGCGCAAACAAAGAAAAATATTGTAAGTCAGAGGAAAGTGAAATAGTAAAAGTAGTTGAAAATAGATTTTACAACTGCAAAAAGCCCAAGCAAGCGATGGGTTTATAAAGAACGTAATGAAGATAAATGTAACGTCGACAGTCGACGTGGGTGGCTGCCGTACTTGCCGTGGTGCTCCAAGTACACTCGGTTCTCTCGCAATGATGCAGCTCAATTTGTGCTTAATATCGGAGCGTGGATGACTCTTCTGAGAAACTTTAGCTTTACACCATATTAATTTAATAACAATAATTGCAATTTGTCTGATTACAGAGAAATCTTTATTACAATAATATCTTTTTTTGTTTTCTTCACGCTTCAAAAACTATGGCACATTTTCTTTCATCATAATAGAATACTACAGTGAAACCAAATAAATAATAATAATAATTGCAAGATCGTGCACTTTTTGTTACTGAACAGGAAAATTAGTTCAGGAAAAGGCAAAACGTGATCCCCAAAGTAAGTGAGGTAGACGCTATTGTTTATAAAAGTTCACGTGTACACGCGTCTTTGTTCGCCGAGCTTTTGAACAGAAACTGTCGCTGAATACTAAATCGGTGGTTTGTTTCTGTACGTACATAAACAGAGGGGTTCTTATTGTGTCTAAATCTTGAATGTATCGAGTCATGTTGCAATTGAAACGAGTTGAGCACGTCTACGTCCACTATGTACTTGTAGTAGAAAGTGTTTTAAATTCAGGTATATGCAACACACGGATTAAGGCATCAGACGTGACCCGGTGGGGTGCTGGCTTTAGCCTTGCGCTCTCCGCTTACACAATTTTGTTACTCGTTGAACATTATGACATTAGCAACGCTATCAAGGTCTCAACACGATGCGGATTAACAAAACGCTCGTTCTGTTAAAGTCAAAACTATTTTACCGCCACACATCATCGACCATTAAAACTTGAGTCGTTAAAACAAATTAAACGGTCAGCGACTGAAGCCGGCAATTTTATCATGAGCAGATCTCGGGTCCCACCAGACTGCGTAATCGCCAATTCAAGTGAAGTGAGAATAAAACTTAGGGCACCGCGCTAGACATATCGATTACTTTCTCGCTACGTGCTTTCATTGTCGTGACAAGCGAACACGACGGTTAACTTAACCTTTTTTATTGGCTTTATTTACATACGACTCTCTTATCTTGCCAACATTGTGCCTTTGTGCAGTCGAAAAATGCAAACAAAGATTAGCCGTTGTTGTATAAACATAGCCTTGAATTAGTAACTTAAGTATCGTACTACCAACTATTTTGCTTCCCAAAAGAATTACTTTTCATTGAGAATATGATAACATTGACAACTTGCTATCATATCGCACTGGGAACGCTAAAAAAGTAAGAGGAAATGTGAAACCTGTTTTAACGACAAGTTGGCTACTCCTTGGTGTTGCAAATGTAGATGGGGGACGCCGATTGGGGACCCTCAGATGACAAGTCTAGGTATTTACAAACCCGTCAAATTCTTTAAAAAAATTATCCTTTGTCTTACCTCTTCATCTTCTGCTATAAATTCTACTGTAGTTTGCTTTTGCTGTTCTACGTTGTTTAATTTCGGGGGTCGCCCATCTGCTTGCTCCAATACTGAAACAAAAGACCGCATACGTGACTCATCGTGGTACTTATCTTGCTAAAGGTCGGTATTCCCCAATGGACATAATAAATGGATAGGATGCTTTTGGCAACGAAATACATTTCAGTCGGAATGCATTTTAGTTATACGATACGATATTTTTTTTGTTATCTTTAGTATAAAACGTAGATCGAAGTGCAGGTTCATGATAGCGTACATATAAAGGAATTATCAAATATATATATAGAACAGATCGTTGTGAGTCAGACGTATGTTAGACAGAGCGCTGGTTCCAGACTGAGAAAGTATTTGATCAGCAAACAGGGTATGTGGGGTGGGATGTCAAAGACAAACATATCAAACAAGACTTGAGGAGTGTACGGAAAACGTGCCATCCGTACAAAAAAATCTCGTAGTTTCATGTAATGGACAGTATTTACTAGTATTAGGTAAAAAGTAATACTTATCAATTTACGGATTTGTTTTTATAATAACTATCGTGAGACATACTAAATTAACTAAAAATCGCGGGTTACTCACGTGTATATATTGAGAAAAGCTCTACTAGTTACTATAGTAGTCAGTAGGCTGCGCGACGTCGCCGCGTCCGCGCACGCTGCTCATGAGGAAGAACCCCTCTGTTGTTTGAAACTAGTAGAGCTTTTCTCAATATATACACGTGAGTAACTCGCGATTTTTAGTTAATTTACGGATCTGTTTTGTATAAATAATTTTATCAGTTATCGTACGATTTGATAATATCAAATCAAGGTTTGGAAAGTCTAAAGAAGTCAGAAATGGCCTTACCAGGGGTGGAAAAGGTTACAAACTTTTATAATGAAAAGGGGACAAAATTAATCTGAAGTTATACTTATATATCCCCGCCTGACTTAAAGTTTTGCCAGAAATTTCATTGGTTTTTATTGAAGTATGAAATAAAGGTCAAAATGGTTATTCTTTTTTTAGGAAATGATGACGAAACGGCCATAATAGAGAACAGAACAATATAGCAGTAAGTTCGTTGACACAGTAAACATGATCCAACCCAATTGATCAGATAACTCAAGTTCAGTCTGTTGCTTTTAGGCACGCATCGAGAGAAATCTTACTAAATAGAACAGGAAAACCGAGCCAAATACAATAACAAATCTTATCATTTATCTTTAAACGAGTAATTCTTGTATATTTATAAATATACGTAACGTATAATCTGAATCTCAGAAACTGCTGCAACGATTGTCATAAAATTTTTAAACGTATGTATACATGGGTTTTCGGGGGTCATAAATCGATCTAGTCAGGAATCATTTTTGAAAATGTTGTAAAAACACCAAGATATTCTGGGTCATCCAGGTACTTGTAACTATGAGAAGCCAATTTTATTTTATTGACAAAACTTTTTTTTTTCATAAATTCTAATTTTGTAACTACTTCTTATTATGGTGATTGATCAAGTAGGTACCTATTTTTCACGTGAAAGCATAAAAATGAACTCCACTTTCACATTTATAAAATTAGTAAGGGATAAACTGACAACGACAAAACCAATTGAAACGAAAAAAGGAGTGACATTAAAAGGTGTAAAATTTGATGAGGTAGTGAACACTGCGCTTTATAAGGCAAAGTTATTCACTGGGTCCGTTTCGAAATTAATCAGTACGAGTGATTTGCATAGGTATTGGAAAATCACCAAATCACATAAAGGATGGCAATTATAAAAAAGGCGCAACACATTTGTCAGACAAAAAGGAACCAAAAGGGTTTGTATCCCAAGGAACCCACACATTAACCTTGTATTTATGTGAAATATGAACCCTATGTTTATTGTCGCGTCGTCCAGCATCCAGCATAAAGTAAAAGAACATGCTTCATATTATGTAGAATGCTTGTCTAGAAAGCAGCAAAAAGAAATTACTTTCAGATCAATTCCCAAGTTATCTATCTTCGATCGGAACGCACGTTTGCAGTTGGTCTCGAAGAACTTGCGACATTTTTATCGATGGGAGCCATGTTTAATGCATGGAATTAAGTTCCTATTGCAATTACTTATCAGTCTCTTACTTGCACATTGTACAGTTCCCACAGAACCAAAAGAGTCGAGTACAATCGACAAAAAATCCCAAAACGAATAGTTTATTTATGACAAACTATAATAATTGAGTAGTTTCCTAGGTAAACATTCATTTGACGGTATTCTTAACTAGCTTCTCCCCCGCGCGGTTTCACTCTCTGGTCGGCTCCTACAGATCGTAGCGTGATGTTTTATAGCCTAAAGCCTTCCTCGATAAATGGACTAACAAACACAAAAATAATAATTAGGTACATATTCCATTTCAACCAATAGTTCTGGAGATTAGCGAGCTCAAAGAAACAAACTCTCCAGCTTTATAATGTTATTTTTTCCTTGTTTGTGTTTGTAGACATTCCTTACTTTTGTAGTATTGTATTTTGTAGATTGTTCCTAGTTCCTAAGTTTTTAACAGACATTATAACGTCAATGTTGAGATCTGATACAAAATTCATAGAAGTATTGTTTTTGATATTTAAATTAAAATATTGAATAAGACTAGTTGGAAACTACGGGATAATACCAAAGTACTATTTTAGAAGACCACAAACAATGATTAGGGAAGTCCACCATGACTAATAAAGGTGACTGTTCACGGTGTGTTGAATCCCACGCCCGGCTCGTTACAGCTGATGTACATAAACATAGTTTATGGATGTCTACATTTCATTGGGCATTATAAATTCTCGAATGTTTAGGTTTAATATTTTGAGCTATCTTCGACTCACTGACATGTGTATTTAATGTAGTTGATTTACTTATAGCAAGCAATAAATTAACAGTTCATTTGAACACCAAAATATGTCTCAGTTCTTCAAATCTCCCAATTCACAAATGTTTCCAAAAGTTAAAAACAGTATATGATCTATTAGATATACCTACTTATAAACCGAACGTAATTTTTCGGTAACTCCGTTTCCTTATAAAACTTTTTAGTATACCATATCAAATGGGAACACGACAATGACCATGGTATTGAATTCTTTGAACACGAACAAAATTTTACAAGTGGTAGCTAGTAGCTACAATAAGCCACCGTTTGGAATTTCCAGTTGGTGTTTAGGGTATAATAAAAATGTAGCACTGTTTATTCAGTCATAAAATATAAATAGGACAGTATGTTAGATACTAGGCCTCGCTACACTCTGACATAAAAACTGGATAAGGTTGAAAACGTTGCCAACACTGATTTTGGCAGCTAAGCTTACACCAAAATTTTTCCTCCTACGGTGACATAAATTGTAATGGACATGACGTACTTATTAATTGAGTTGCGATAAAAGGGTTTCAATTAACATAGTCGAAGATAAAACACGTCCGCTCATCGCTCATTATCATTAACAGTGCGGGCAATATGCACCTCTTCTAGTTGTACTTATGCAGATACGCCACATACATAATTCTCAATTGGCTACTACCTAGAATTTTAGAGTATTCAGTCATATTTTCATTACGAAAATAATAAGGATTGTGTTCAGTTAGTCTGACACATACAGAAACAATTTAAGGAAACAGCTGCTAAGTGCCAGTAGCTCCCAGTAGGGATATTTTTCCTTTAACTACTTTATTATTATTTAAATTACTGGTCGGTATAGTATATTCGGTAAAAACATCGATTTTGAACCGAAATCTTGTCACCTTGTGTAAATACTGTGAGTGTCAAGGAAATTGATTAAGTCATTAAGTGTTGCCGGATTCAACAGAGTCCGTTTCGATAATATCTCTTAGTGACCTACAAAGCTTTTTGCCGAATTAAATGGCGGAACTGTAGACGTAACGGTCAACGAACATCCACGCTCGTAGATCCGGCTGATAACTTTAGAAGCAAGATCTCATAATTTGACAATAAAGAAGATGGCCTATGTTAGCGCCTTGGCATCATTTCTAGTGAGTCGTGAGTCATTATAAACGAATAGGTCTGACTTAAAGACAAAATCAACTTTTTTTAAAACTATTTCGACCTAGCTTTTATTGTATAAAAAGATAAAAAAAATACGAAAAAACGTGAACAAATACTCTAATTATTATATCTGTTGAAATGAGAGGATAAGACGACCCCTCTTACGGTCTACGCGAGGTAATGGTAATACCTAATGGCAGAACTATGGTATGTGTATAATTAATTTACAATCATCCTTTGCCAGAAGTATCTTGAGTTATCACGTTAGATAACACGTACTATAAGTAATATAATGGTTGCGGGTTTCCTTCGACCTTTTGCTATACCTAATGGAAAGGGAACGAGGACATACTTACCGGCCTATCCACACTACACCAATGTGAAATATGTATTTATTTACACCGTAAGTACACGTGATTGAATACATTACAATAATGGCAGCGATAACAAACAATTGACTCCATTCGGTCCCAAGTAAATAACTCACTAAACTGAAAATAAAACATTAATAGAGGCCTGTCAATACCTAATAGAAACAGTGGCGTCAACTCAATCGACAATGGCATCTAGATACGTATAATGTATATACAGTATATACCTATAGCAAATAAAATGCCACAGACCTCTACATCAGCCCCAAATGGGCGCCAATGATACCTCATTACGAATTCATACTAAAACCATTATTCAGATGAATAATGAAAAATGTAGCAACGGTATTTTTCTAACGGTTATTATTGCTATGAAATCGATTAATTTTCTTACATTGAATTAATTATAAAGTTTCAAACGAGTGTATTTAACAGTTAATTAACGATGTCGCTAACCTTAGAGACGTTGTTGTTATTAAAACGAAACTGCACAAGGTTGCGCTTGCGCCGGTGCGGGCGCCCCGGTTGTCCGCAATCAAATGCACGCTTAAGTTATTACACTAATGTAAAACTAGTCAACAACGAAACCCACTTTGGTGCAGGTGTACTCGACTTCAGTACATACTACATTGCTTAAGCGACGAGAGAGAGGCGATCTAGTTAGTTTTACTA